GAATGGGAACTCTAACAAAGTGGTTTGTTACTATACTAACTGGTCACAGTACAGACAGAGTATTGGAAAGTATTATCCAGAGGACATCGATCCATTCATGTGTAATTACATCATATTTGCTTTTGGTTGGATGAAAAAGAACCAACTATCCGCCCACGATACTTCGGACGAGAGTAAAGATGGAAAGAAAGGTCTTTACGAACGAGTTATAGAGCTGAAGAAAAAGAACCGCGACTTGAAAATTCTTTTAGCCGTGGGTGAGTTATTTTTCATTATACTGAAACTTAACAAGCATTATATCAGTGATACCAAACTTCGAGGTTAGTTTACAGTTAGATATCTATTACTTAGTATGTCGTAAAATAACCGTCGTTTATCCGTTTCTTAGGCCGATAAAATGTAGGTGTTTCAAACAACAACAACTTATTTTGTGACACCGAAAGGATTAGTAATTCGGTGGACCCAATTTAATCCGAGTCCGAATGAAAAATCACTGCATTCAAGTTAGAATCGTTAGTTTAGGTAAGAAGGATGGACATATATATATCGCACTTGTGGAGTAAAATAAAATAAAACACCCCGAAATATTTGTTTTAAGTAATTTTCAAGGTCTAAAACAAAACACCCGAAAAGCGTTGTCCTATATTTAAATAGTTTTCCGTGTCCCAAAAAAAGCTTCAGTTCTTCTCAAACATCTTCATCAAAAGATCTAAACAAAACTAGCAACTGGCGCCACCTACTAACGATCGAAAAATGTATTATTGATTTGCATTTAAAGTGTATTTAAAGAGAAAAAAACACGCCATGTTATATTTTAATCACACTAACAGTAACCACCAGACTGGTGTTAGTAGATCATGCTATATTTTAATCACACTAACAGTAACCACCAGACTGGTGTCAATAGATCATGCTATATTTTAATCACACTAACATTAACCACCAGACTGGTGTTATTATACCATGCTATATTTTAATCACATTAACAGTAACCACCAGACTGGTATAGTGTGAATAAAATATAGCCTGATCTAATGACACCAGTCTGGTGGTTACTGATAGTATGAATAAAATATAGCCTGATCTAATGACACCAGTCTGGTGGTTACTGATAGTGTGAATAAAATATAGCCTGATCTACTAACCAGTAACCACCAGACTGGTGTTAGTAGATCAGGCTATTTTTATTCATACTAACAGTAAACACCAGACTGGTGTTAGTAGATCAGGCTATATTTTATTCACACTAACAGTAACCATCAGACTGGTGTTAGTAGATCAGGCTATATTTTATTCATACTAACAGTAACCACCAGACTTGTGTCAGTAGAATTGCAGGATTATTGAAAAATGGTGAAAAGAAAAACGTTACAGGTAATCAGATTAAATCTATGTATTTCATTTAAATGAAGTGTTTTTGTCCAAATTAAAACTGTAAAATGTTAATGTATTTTTATCCACAAAGGTGGCGCCACGATAAACTTGTTTCGTGTTTTTAAATCATTGTCCAATTCATCTCTTTCACGAGATGATCAAGGAATATAACCTAAAGATGACTTCACGCGAATTATTTTTTCAAGATTTGTTGAATAAGTTTGTAGCTTAATAAGAGACTAGATCATGATTCTATAAGACTCAAATTATTTACACTTACAGGGGGTTGGTCATTTGGTACGAAACGTTTTAAAGACATGACCTCAAACAGCTACAATCGAAGATTGTTCATATTTAGTGCAGTGGAGTTTCTAAGGGAGCGGAATTTTGATGGTCTGGATTTAGACTGGGAATTTCCTCGAGGTAGTGGAGACAAGAAGAACTTTGTGCAACTAGTAAAGGTAGGATGTTACGTAATTTAAATGTGTAAATGTGCAACTAGTAAAGGTAGGATGTTACGTAATTTAAATGTGTAAATGTGTAACTACTAAAGGTAGGATGTTACGTAATTTAAATGTGTAAATGTGTAACTACTAAAGGTAGGATGTTACGTAATTTAAATGTGTAAATGTGCAACTAGTAAAGGCAGGATG